ATATATATATACACACCGTTGGAGAAGTATTTTAAAATTATCTCGAAGAGATATAATGATGTATCAAAACTAATGGCCTCTTCAAACATACATTAAGCATCTCTATGGAACAAAACAGCAGAAACACTTGTGGTTCGTAGTGATATACCACTCCACGTACAAGAACATATGCCCTGCTTTTCAGAAATTAGGCATGGTGATATTTTGGCATTTTCCTTGACTAAAACAAATAATAAAACTCCGTGGCTTTAGTCCGCAAGCGAACTATACCGACAGAGCGACGGCCGCTTGTCAGCGAAGTTACTGCCAGCTTTAGCGGATAGAGGGTGTCGCGTGGTCAGCGCAACGGATTCCCACGGCCGTTAATTTCGCTTTTCTAGACCGGAGCCACTATTTCCTTGAAACAGCTCTCAATTATCATCACGAGGCTGAGTGGACCCCATTCCAGAACTACTACTCCTCAGAAAATCTGGTAGCGCCGGGAATCGAACCTGAACTTTTGGATCTGTAGCCAGAAACTCTGACCACTAGACCATAGAGGCAGTCTTTTCCCTTTATTGCATGGAATTAAAAACAATTTACATTCATTTCGTTAATATTTAATCAGACCGAAAACTCTTCCAAGCAGAAGTCGCGGATCTTGAATGTATTTGTGCATTAACTCTTCTTTATTATAAAAATGTTGAGCTTCCCGTTAGGAGTCATGTTAGGCCTATGAGAAGCTAATCTTAAGTCCTTCGGAAATTTTCCAGCGAAATCCGTTCAGTAGTTTCGGAACCTAAACATGAGGATGAGCGCCTCCCCACTGGCGTTTATTTCACGCACTTCGTGTAACGCCACACAAGAACATGGCACTTACATGCAAGCTTCATTGCAACTCTCTTCAATATATGAAACATGCGACTACAGCGAACGTGAAACGATCTGTTTTATGGACCCTGTCACTAACCAAAATGCCCACTACTAGGCAAGTATTAACGGCAATAAAATGTCTGCTATGTTATCCATCATCTGTGCGTGCTCGTTACTCGTCGTCCGGCTACAGTCCATGAATATTAATCCCACAGGCTATAAAAGCTGGCAACACTGCGTATTTCCTTGCAACTGGTAAAATGATGGATGTGTTCCATGCAGCTCACCGCGATTCGAAACCGAAAGCATCTATCCCATTAAGCCATTTCTGGGAAAGGCGCGATGAATTAATCCTAAAATTATTTTCACGCATGATTACACAATCTGGTTCAAGTAAAAACATTTCTGTTTGCAGGAATCTAAACAGATTACCTCTGAGACTGATATATACTGTTTACATATAGCATGGTCTACTATAAACACGGTGATAATATTTGCAGCTTCTGCCACACACTGTTTACCAATCCTTGTGGGTCCGCGAGGTTGTAAAATGGCTGTGGGTTTTCCGAGGATCGGGGTCCTTCTGTTTCACATTATGCAATAAAAATAACAATGTACAGATGCAGTTATTAACAGAACTAACACAGATATTAATATCCATGAGACGCCTTAACCGCCTATGATAAACATCAATCCACTGACTGAGGTTAGTTAGCTCTTTCTAATGGACCCAACAGAGCTGGTGTTGCCCATCCCTCATCTGGGGATGGAAAGAGATCCAGCTTCCGAAACGTCGTGTTCTTTTGTGTATTTTAGGATACGAAATGATCGAAGTCCAAAAACCCACTAATCCCGAATGTTACATAATATCGTCAGAACCCTTTGGAATCTACATGGTCATGTGATATAATTACAGTTACCTCTGACACACCCCACTCGTATATTGGGGAAAGTAACCGTAACTAACTTAGCTAAGATACATTGAGCAAAAAGGTGTTCAAAAACCATTCATTCTGTAAAAGAAAACAAAAAACCAAAACGTTCCTAGTTGTAAAAAGGAATTATTTTAAATGCGGTGTAATATACCTACATGCACATATCCCCAGGTCCATGGAGCGAGGCGGATGAACGGTTGACTTGTTAGTTGCAAGATGTGTATAATATAACCTAACCGGGGTTTGCGAACCTGCACAAACTGCGCTGAGGGCGTGGCCCGCAAACCGCGGAGTCGACAAGAATTCATACTTCACTGCAAGCACGCAGAACAGTAAAGTCTGCAATTTGTTGAATGCCGTGTGATTCCAGTGATTATCGCATTGTAGCTGGGTTTTCCAGCACTGGAATCTTATAAATTCACCTGCAGTCCACAACACGCTGTTTAGGCTTCCCTCCGGGACTGAATGGCCACAAAACGCAATTTCTTCTCTGGGAGTAACCTTCCCCTTTTGAATAATATGTCAAACGCTACCATGTTTCAGCAACTTCTAAATATGGGGCATATTTTCCTCCCATAACCCCTTAACGTGACCAAGAAGATCGTGTTGGGACTTCTGCTTATTTTGGTGTCCTGTCGAGTGATGAGGGCGAGGGCACACAATTCTGGGAACGGTTGCTCAAGGAGAGCTCTACTCCATGAAATCCTTCAATGAGTAGAAACACGTATTCATGTTAAATTTAAATGCACTTGAACATCCAACAACCCACTACATCATGTTCAATTTTAATAGAAATTGAAGATGGGACAGAAACTGATACTGCACACACAGACAATGGATAACTGTCAGGGCATGGCAATATCGGTCCCTCGGAAACGGAAACGCTGAAGACGAAACGCAATATGGCTCCGAAACAGAGCTTCAGGCAATGATGAGGTTGCAACAGAACACATCATGCCGCTGTATCCAAGAAGGCTATCATCATCTGAGGCTCCTGGTGACATAACACTGGATTTGAGGTGTGGACCCGGGACCAAGTCCTGTTTACTTAAAGGTCGTGTAGTCACACCAGAGAATGTTGCCAACTTGGGGGGGGGGCACCGTGGCGGCCTGGGTTCAATCCCGGGTCTGGTAAAGTGGGATCTGTGGTGGACAAAATGGCGTTGGGATGGGTTTTCTCAGAGTACTTCGGTTTCCCCTGCCAATCTTCATTCCACCAAATTCTCCATCATAATCACCCGGGGCAGGCTACAATAGGCCAATCAGTGGCCACCGTGCCGAATGGACCCAGCTAGACTCCACCCCACACTAAGCGAATTAAAAAAAGGGGGGGCGATATAATATACTGCCCGCGTAATTACATTATTCCTGATCTCTCTCAGATAAAACTTTCCCCTAGATGAGCCCCCTCTGGCGTGGGATGTTCCGTTCGGGATGTAGTGGAAAATTACTTCTCAACATATTCACATATCGCACATCAGACAAGTGTAACTTAGGAAATTCATGTCAACTCACCTGACAGAACTTCTCTGGTTATGTAATACTTCGCTTCACCTTTTCTGATCCTCCATATTCACTTACTAACACACACAACAATATTTTGAAACCTTATATGCGAGGGCTATACAAAAAGCAAACTCCGGTGGGCTGTTAACAAAATATGCAATGAGAAAGAAAAGGTTATTATAAACAGAATGCGTACATATTTAGGCTACTTCTCAACGTAGTGACCGCCGGAACTGAGGCACTGGTCGTATCGGGGAATAAGTTTTTGTATGTCTGTGTTAAAGAAGTCTGCCGCTTGTGGGCTCAGCCACGTTTTGACACCTCCCATCAACTCCTGTTGTTGAAGCGCTGTGATCTCAAACAGTTCTTCAGGCAGGTAAACAGGTGATAGTAGTTCGGGGCGAGATCTAGGCTGTAAGGAGAGTGGACAAACAACTCCCAGCTGAAATAATTCAGCGCGAGCAGCTGTACGCGGATGCGCACTGACATGGTGGAGCACTACACAGGATGCCAACATTCCACGCCCGTCTTTTGTTCTAAATGGCCTTAAGCAGGTTTTTAGTGTTTCGCAATATACTTCTGACGTTACTGTGGACCCTTGTTGCACGAATTCCACCATTTACACTCCTTTCCTGTGCCAGAAAACAGTCTTATGGCAGATGTTTGTTTAAACTTTATCGGCCTGTTTAGTGAATGTGTGTGCATCCACTGCTTTGACTGATATTTCGTTTTAACGTTCACAAAAAAAAAACCCAGGTTTTATCACCTGTTACTGGTAAGATGTGATTGAGAAATTCATCGCCATCTTTGTGGTAGCCTAAAAAAGTCAAGGCCAAAGACATTCTCTGCGTTTTGTGCGCATCAATGAGCATTTTCGGAACCCATCTTGCGCAAAACTTGTGATAGCCTAGCCTGTGATATTCTCATAAAGAATAGGGCGTCGAATTTGTGGAAATTCCCCATGAAATTTCTGAAATATTTTCACAATTCTTTTCGTCAACACTTCGAACAGAAGGCTACTCACTACAGAAGGCCGACCATATCGCTCTTCATCGTGAACATTTGTTCGCCCATCTGTGAACATTCTACACCGCATCTTACAGTTCCTTCACTCATATTTTGACTGTAAACCGCGCACAATTCATGATGAATTTCCACGGCACTAATGATTTTAGCGTGAAGAAAGCGGATAATAGCGCGAATTTCGCAACTGACGGGATTATCAGCAGCAGGACAAATGATAACTCACTCTGGAGAGACAAGAACAAACACTACGTGACCAGTTTTGTGATGGTTTACAAGGCAATGAGTCGAATGACGCTACTTCGCATGCGCGAGCTCTGCCCCGCTCCTGCACTGAGTAGCTGCCTAAAATAAACGGAGGTTACTTTCCGAATAGCCCTCGTATATTTGTGGCGGCATTAACACAGTAGAAACTGACGGAGCTTAGACACGTGTAATATTAAGAAGTGCTATCACCCCGCCCCTAACTGCCAGTGGAAGCTCCCAGGCATTCTAGCCCTAGATACCAAGTAAGCATATGTATCTGTGACCGCATTAACGCAGTAGAACTTACCAGGGCTTAGACACACCAGATACTCTGCCCACCCCGACCAGCAAACGGTCAGTGGAGGCTTCTAGGCGTTCAGCCTTGTGTACAAAGCAAGGCGGCAACACATACCAAACACTTGTGATGATGGCAATTACCTTAGGTTCTGTAGAAGTCTTTATCTTTTTTGGCGGAGGTGGAGAAGTGGGTCTGTTCTCCTCCACCGGCCCAGCGGCTGCTGATGCAGAAACCAGAATCTTGGGTGCTTCTGGTTTGGTGGTGGCCGAGACAACGGCGGCTGGTGCCGTGGCTGCCACAGAAGGTGGGCCTGGTGCATTAGGGGCGATGGGCGCAGGGGGCCCTGGACCCGATGACACAGGAAACACCACCCGCTGCTGTTGTGGTGGCGGTGGTTGTGCTTGGGGTGGTGCCGACGCCTGCTGAGGTGGCTGCTGAACAGCCTGAGGCATGGCCGTTGTGACTGTCGACACCGCCGGTCGCACTACACCGTTCACATCCGGAGCTGTGGAGACGGTTTGAGATGGTGCAGGAGATGGTGTCGGTTTGCTCACTGTCTTATCTGTCCCCCCGTGTTTGTCCCTCGCCTTGTCCCTGCGGTGTCCACTCGAACCTCGCTTGCTACTGCTATTACTCCCACCTCCATTACTGCCACTGCCACTACCACTGCCACTGCAACTACCAGTGCCGGTGCTAAGGCTATTACTGCCACTGCTACCGCTGCCTGCACTCAGCCCACCCCCACTGACACCAGAAGGCGGTGGATGCTTCCCCTTACTGCCATCCCCTGCACCAGCTTCACCTCCGTTCTGTTCACCAGGCTTCACAATCTCATGTTTCGCTTCACAGGTCTTTGTACCAGGTTTGGTCCGCTTTATCTTCATCTTGAGTCCCTTATCCACTGTGGCAGAGTGTTCGACTGCCATCTTCCCGGTCTTGTTGCCGGTACCACTCGTTGCAGAAGACATCCCCGAGTTGTTACTGTTGGCGGTGGTGCCCCCTGACCCCACCCCCCCGCTCTTCTCGTTCGTTTTCTCTATATCAGCATCCAAGTCTATAATAAGATCGCCTATCCCAATGTCCCATTCGTTATCATCGTACTCGAAGTTGGAAGCTGCCGATTCCGCCTTCGCCGCCGCCGCCGTCGTCCTGGGGTCTGCCACCTTCGATCGGTGGCCGCCGTCCAGCGGGTTGTCTCTCATTGGGGCAGCCATCCGCAGAGCCGGGTCCGTGGCGAGCCGTGGTGTGAGGGTTGACCAGGCCCGCACGGCCCGCCGGCCACCAACATCTTAGCCCCTGCAACAACCCACAGCCACGATTGGTTTCACAAGTAGCTCCAACAAGAACTCATAAAGCCTACACATCTCTTGCTACACTTGTTATTCTGAGCCCTAAGTAGATACACAGATTCTGTCCACATTAATTTCGCCAAAACAAACTCACGCTTACACACCGCCGCAATATTTTCAATTGCTCACTTGCATACAATATTTTATACGTGATGAAAAGACGTGTTTCTGATCATCTCCGTGCACAAATTTCACACGTCTAGTTCCAATGGTTCATTAGTTACTTCTATCAAACCGAAAGGTAAACAAAATATTTGCATGACCGCCGTATTGTTTATAAACATTCTAAAAGGACGTTACTTTGAAGAAGAAGGTTGCAAATTTTCGACTGCCTATTTACCAGGTACGTCAAAACTCCGAACCAAGAGTCGCTCCCACCTCAGAGATTCGTGGTCTGTCATGTTGTTATTAATAACTGCAGAAAAGTATGAACTGTGGCATTGGAATGGTTCTCAAACATATAAAGTTGGGTAAAACTGGTCAGCTGGTTTAGGAACTGAAATATGAGACAGCCACAACACATGACACAACCCTGCACCCAGTTTCCTGCACAGTAAGTAGTGGAGTCTGCAGTCCCATGAATTGCAAAGCACCTGTCTGATACACAAGATCTAAAAGTTTGTGACGGTGATACATTAACACAAATGTTATGTTTCTGGACACTATCCATCGTCCTGTTTTATATAAAACTCACAGTTTCGGATACTGGAGAACGCCGCTTGCAACACCTCTCCTACTGTGCGTGACGTCACAGCGTACCTCACGCGTTCCTCTGCTGCGTGTGTACGGGACATTACTTAGCAAAGGCTGTTTCTCTGCCTCGACAGTTCTTGCTTTGAGCAAACACGCCACAATATTATTTAGAAGAGATTCAGTCTTTACCGGGTTAATGGACTTCAAAATTAAATCATAATCGTAAACTGTGGCCGTTCACAAAAATGGCAATACACTCCCTTTTATTTTATTTTATTTTATTTATTTATTTTTATTTGAAGTCATGCTGTGCCTATGTCGTCCGCTCTCCAGTACTCAGTGTGGAGAAAAATAAAAAAGAAAACACAGAACTCATCTACATTAACTTTTTATTAAACGAATGTATGAGTCATACACTGAAGAGCCGCACACATTCCCGCTCGCTCCCAACAAACAGGGAAACATCCTGAGGGTAAGCAGTCCATTTCGTTACATCTGCTTGCTTATAGGGGGCAGCGCCATAGCTCAAGCGGTTAGTCGCTGGCTTCCCCCCGCGGCGGCCGGGGTTCGATGCCGGATCTGGTCAAGTGGGATTTGTGGTGGACAAAGTGGCGCTGGGGCAGGTTTTCTCCGGGTACTTCGGTTCCCCTGCCAATCTTCATTCCACCAACTGCTCCACAATCACCCTCACCTATCATCTGGGGCTGGTACAATATGCCAGAAGTGACTGCAGTGCAAGAGACTTAGTCCCACCCCACTAGTACCTTCCACTGGTCCCTATCCTGAACCAAATCAATCCAATCCATACCATCCCATTCTGTCTCTCTAAGATACATTTTAATAACGCCCACCCACCTACGCCTTGGTCCTTCAAGTGGTCTCTTTCCTTCTGGCTTTCCCACCAATGTCATATATGCATTCCTCTTCTCCCCATTCGTGCTACATGCCCTGCCCATCTCATCCTCCTTGACTTTATCATTCTAATTATACTTGGAGAAGTTATGAAGCTCCTCATTGTGCAGTTTTCTCCATCCTCCTGTCACTTCATCCCGTTTCGGTCCAAATATTCTCCTCAGCACCCCGGTCTCAAACACCCTCAGTTTATGTTCCTCCCTTAATTTTAGAGACCAAGTTTCGCACCTATACAGAACCAGAGGCAGAATTATAGTTTCGTATATTCAAATTCTTACATATTTAGACAGCAGACGAGAAGATAAAATGTTCTGGACTGAATGGTAGCAAGCAGTATCCGAGTTCAGTCTCTTAATTTCCGCCTCAATCAGGTTTCGATTTGTTATCGTCGTTCTCAAATATCTGAACTGTTACACCTGCTAGGATACCTGTTATCCTGATTGAAAATTCTAGTGGATCTCCTTAGCACCTCAAGGCTATGAGAGGCATCCTTCCAAATCCTTACCCACTCATCATTCATTCTTCCTTATTTCACATGACACATTCTATGCAGCAGCCTTAAACAATAACATATCACTGATTTCGTTATCAAACGCCTGTAGTATTGCAACCGAGGATTGTTGTGTGATGTGAAACACAAACTTCGTTCCTACATAAATATTCATATTTCATGCAGAAAGTTTATATGAAACTAGCCATTTATTTCTTTACTGTCTGCAACAACTGAATTATTCCCGCAGAAAACACTACTCACAACATTACTCCCCTTTTCTGCTGTAGAAGCACTTGCACAAATCTTCTGGAGACACATGGACACCAGTAATAAATAAAACGGTCCATGAACGTAATGGTTTTATTCGGCCGATGAGCCGTAACACTTTTTCGATAACAAATTTTATAAGAACCCATTTACTCATTTTGAAGATAAGCTATGTGGGCACATGATCATCGGCCTCCCTTACATTCGTTCACTCTGTACACTTTATACAGGAAATGCGCAATGGATAACTTGGCATTCCGATGGAACCAAATGCTTTTAATGATCTGAAAGCACCAAAACAGTTTAAAGACAGCTAATAATATCGTACCAAATAACGCTCAAAACATCCGAACGACTAGAAACAAGTTCTTCACGTGCACTTCATTAGACAAAATGTCCGCAGACATTACTGACCCTGATACAGATTTCCTTCCGAAGAAATCGTCACCGATTTGCTATGATGCAGGTCATGAATATAATGCTCCTCAACAAAATGGATGCATTAAGGGCATTCCACTACAGCTCCTTTACTTTATGAGCGTGACCGAATTCTACATGCGCAGGGAATCGCGTACCGCACACTTTCCTGTCAAGGCGAGTGCGTGGGGCAGTTTGCTTACAGTTGCATACGAGAGAAGGGTTGGCTGCAGAAACTGCAGTCTCGTGATATAAGTCAGCACAAACACGCAAACAAGAAACTGTGAGCAGTGTAAATGCTCTGCGCAATCCGACATCAATGTATGTCATGGCAATTAACGGCTAACAAGTGTTTCTCAATAGCGCTGTCTTCCCTTCCGCTACAGATATCTGATGCCATTTTCACACTTCACCCTGCTACTTTTTGTCTTCCCTCCTCTCACGAGCAAACCAGGGGCTCCGGTAAGTAATCAGATAGAATCCCCGTTTTGTATCACATTGCATCTTGCTGTAGTATCGCNCATACCCTACCGGTACTGGTGCGTTCTATCAGCCCCGTTCAGCCAACGAGGTCGGCCGTCTGTACCTGATATTTTCCATCTACCAGAGGCATTGGAAACTACTTGGGCGGGAAATTGTTGCCTAATTTTGCTCAGAGGTCTCTTAGAGAGACATGAGGATCTTTTACGTGCCGTAAATCTACGACACGGGACCCACGGCTTAAAGTCCCTCCCGGAGGACTTGTTCCCTAAATTTTTCCGCCCTTGAGTCATGAGGTGGGAACTTTACCCCTAGACTACGGAGGCCGCTTTCCCAGCATTTACATTTCTGCACATGCATTTGACGAGGACTGTTAAAAGATCAAAAGGGGAGGTTGTAGGATAATATTAATATTAAGCCGTATGTCTTTAAGTGGTTGTGCAGATGAGGGCTAGAGTGCAAAAACTTCACTTAACGATGCGCCTCCATCATGAGACTGCCTGCAGTTTCGACAACACAATGAAGGAAACTTTTGGACCTCCCGGTTTCTTTAACACAGATGCCGAGTAGTTAATAATAATTTGTTCTTCCTTCAAGTCAAGAGCCTCAGGGAATTCCTAGTAACTCGTGTATCGTCGTTCCAGGAATGAAAGGTTTTCCTTTTCAATTATTTGTGTGGCTGACCACTCACTCTACGTACGTACACCCAATGAGAGGCCACGTCACTGTTACATCACATTACAGTGCATCAGGGTTCTCAACTAATGTCATGGGACGTCAGTCTAAAAGTGTGTCGCGACATCTCATCCACGGTCTTGCCACACGTTTAACAACGAACAAAGTGTAACAACAGAAGTGAGATCTTCAGCCCTGGTCTGTCTTCAACTCAAGGACCTCTTTGTTAACACTGTTGCAGCTTATTCCTGTCTTGCAACAGAACTGTAATATTCGGTGTAAACTATCCAATAAGATCTCTTTTATAATCACAGGTTTCAGTTTCAACAGCGAAAACGCCATCATGTTCCCAAATAACCATGCTTCAAACTTTCTGAATGCCATTCTTGTAGTTTATAGCACATTCCTAAAATGTTATTCCTTTACTTTTTGTACGAATGGTAATGATTTCTGCAGAAAGCGCAAATGAAAAGCATAAGTGAAAGGAATATCGAGAACACAGTGTATACGAATATATATATACACACACACATAATACTGATGCATTGCGTTAGTACTACAATCGCAATAATATTGAGAAACTATACGCTTCATTGTCGTACGCCGACTGCCACGACTGGCATGTCTGCAGTTAGGAACAAACTATTTACAAAACTGCACGTCATATCCCAGATGACCATAACATTCATAACGCCACGAGAACCTCAACGAAAAAAGGGTGAGACACGCTACAGCAGTGCCCCCATGAGGGCGAGAGAGGCAAGGGGCGCTGAAGGTGCCCCCCGAGCCTGTTGTTCGCTTATTTATGACTCAAGTGACTTCAGACGAGACACTGAGAAACCGGTATCACTTCATCAAGCCCATCCGTCGCACTGAGAATTCACAAACAGTGAAATATCACTAATTTTATTGTTAATACGTTATCTTCCTTAGTGGGTTGTGCACTGAGAAAACAGCTATTCTGCAGAATGATTTTTACATGGTTTGGCAGGGAATACGACCGCTTCTGT